ATGGTAAAACAAAATAAATGGTGCGACATTTCCATCCAGCACTGCAGAGCTTTAAGAACAGATTGGTCAAATATCTGTGAGTACTGATCTAGGTGGAGTTACCATACTTGGGGTTCAAGGGGGCAGACAAGACCTTCTGACAAGTTCCTTCCAGTGCTTTTACTGCTGCATCCTTTTGCACTGTTTGGCTCAAACGTTCTGCAGATGTGTTAAGCGTATGCTGTCATTTGTATCATGCAGTTATGCAAGTCCTCCTCATTGTTTAGAAAAGGGATGTTGGTTTCAGTGAATTACTAAATGCTGTTGTAATTCTTCTTCTTACTATATAACATTACTGTCTTTTGTGCAATGTGGCTGGCACAAAGACTGGAAGTCATCAGTCCATGCTGTGACTATTGTGGAAGACAAATTGATTCAGCTGTAATAGGATGAGCATGAAATAGCATTAGAAAACCATTGGCTCACATCTTAGGGTAGGTTAAGTGTAACTGATAGAAAAAAAGATTAAAAACTCAGAGGTTTTGAAAACTGCACTTGTTCTTGGAAAAAAATAGAATGAAAATAACTCAAACATGTAAAATTAACTCTTGAAAATTCCCATATACACAAAAAGACAAGCACTGAAGCTCCCTTAAATGTGACAGTGATTTTGTATTAGCTATGGGAACATCCCTGTCCCTAGTCATGTCCCAGCGAAGCTGAAAGTATATTTTCAGCTAAATAAATAGACATGATATTACATAGAGCTGTCCTTTCATTTCTTTTTTCTTTTCCTCCAGTCAGGCTATCATGATTGACAACACTCAGAAATATATTCACCTGACTACCTGCAGCCATTTGTGGGATAGTTGTAAATAAATGAAGAGACAAGAACCAAGCAAGATATCCATTTGCCTGAAAAAATAACTTGTTTAACATAGATTCTGAGCTCTTGCACTTAAAAAGTAGGTAAAAGGGCACTGCAGTTTTCAGTTTCTCTGCTAAGTTATTGCATTAACAAGAGTCATGATGAGACATCTAGACAGAGACATGGACACACCTGGGATATCAGTTCCTCCTTTTCCAAACTGACTTATGTTTTTCTATTTCCTGGATATCTAACAAATCATCAACAATCGATCTCTCTACCTTGATGTCATAGGGACAGAAAGTGTCAGACCTAACTGGTATTAATTAAGGGTCTTCTCTTCACCTGGACCATGCATGGAACTTATTTAAACACATATTGAAGAGGGCTGTTCCACTTGGCATCTAGATAAATTGTTAGGTATCTAATTCAGACTAAGTCTTTCCCGCTTACTGTAAGTGCAGGGAAAAGGGCTGCAACAAAACAACTCATGTCCTTGAGCACTGAAGTGTACAGACTTTAAGCTATGTTTTCTTCTTTTCTGTTTTGTTATCTTTTTGCTTACTGATCCCTATACAGATGTGCATACAAGTATACACAATCGCCAAACTGTTTTGCTCAGCCATATAAATAGCACTGAAGTAGGAAAATTTCAACAAAATTTAAGGTGGTGAAAATCATTTGACCTTTCTAAGTTTAAGGAGCCTCACACTTGATGTATAAACCCCGAAGTGTATAATATATTTACACCACTGTTAAGCCTTGAGAAGTCATAGTCACAGTCAGTGAATGCAAGATCTCATAGCTTCCCATCCTCCCAGGATTTAAGGAAGATTTATGTGTTTTCTGTGAGCATTCAGCCAAAGATATATATTGTGTGGCTGATATCAGTGTGTGCTGTTATTTGTTTTGCTTTCTTCAAAGAGAATTATTTTTCAGTGGTTTGAAAGTAAAGTTCATCATAAGGTTAGTGACTTCAGAGCAAGTACTCTGGGTCAGCAGTTAAATACTGAAATATCCTGAGTGCCATGAGAGCACTCAAAACTTCAGAAGATAAGTACTTCATTATGCTGCAGATGAGGGAATAATCTGACCTTATTGCTTTGGCATTCTGCATATCTTTGGTTTAAATGTTTAAGATATCTTAAAATAGGAGGTAAAGGGTCAAGGGTTAAACTGATGATGTAATTAAAGTTGCAGTCTTAGGGTTTGCCCTTTAAGTTTAAATGTTTCTGTAAGTTAGGGCTGAAATTATTTAATATGTGCTTCTATATTTGGATAAATTCTGATGGTATGAATTCCAAAATGTGTGCATTAGCCTTGTAGCTGAGTTGCCTTAAGATGAAATGTTTTGATAACCTCTGAGAAAAACAAGCAACTCTTCAGTTAATGGACCCTATGTACAAGTCAATCATTGTAATGCGGTGGTGTTTGAAACTGTGTCCCTGTTAATTTTTCAGAGTAGATTGTAGTTAATGACATGTTAAGATAGCCTTCAGTTCTGGCATGGCTTGAAGCAAATATTAATTTAGTGCTGTCAGAAAGTACAAAGATAATGACATGCTAAGTGACAGAGGAACACTCTGAGCAGTCAATGAGTTTGGAATTATGGCTTTGTACCCTTGAGTTTTCTGCCTTTCCAGCTCTCTCCTCTGCTCCCCAATACCCTGACCCTGGGGCCAAGAGGGACTCTCAGTGGTTGTGGTGGACACTGTCACAGTACAACACAGCCCTCCTTGTAAACCTTTTTCAGACCTATGACAGACCAATGCAAAGTCTGAGCCTGTACTGCCATTTTCACCTCTTTCCAGGATCAAAAGCATTGACCACAGTTACAATTTAGAGAGCAGGAAAAGTGTGTGTGCATGCACATGCTCTCTTTTTTGCTATGTAATATGTAAGTAAAAGAGAAAATAAATCTAGGACTACAATAACCAGTGAGGTTTGGGGTTGGAAATGGGTCTCATTTTCCCCACTGGCATCACAGACAGGTGAGAAAACAGAGACGAATTTCAAGCCCCAGTCCACACTGGGCAGGATTAGTGAAGCGATCTGGGCATGTAGGCATCCCCAGGATGGCTCTGCACAGTGTTCAGCATGAAGGTGACCGATAACCAGAGGTGGCCTGGGGGCTTCTCACATTGGGAGAGACCTTTACCTTCTGACTAATTTTAAACTCATATGTCTCTGTATGCTTTCACACACTGCACAAAGGCATTACTTTTTGTTTGAAGTGGAAAGCAGAAAACTTACTCAGGAGCCTCTCAGCTCGTAACCCTTGGTTGTAACCATCCCCTGTAAGCCTGTGGGGAGGGCTGTGAGAATGGCTACTCCCTCTGCGTGGGGTCAGGAAGGTGGGTGGGCTCAGTTAGGCATCCTACAGCCCTGCACTAAAACGGACTCTGTGCCAGCCTTACCCAGCTGCAAGCCAAGCGCACATGTTCGAGTGCGTGGGAAGGGAGAAAAGGGATTTCCGCCTGTTGACTCCACATACCTTCTCAGAATCCGGCACAGCTTCTTGAGGTCAGAAATACACTATGGTTGGGCAGGGATTGTTTCCCTAGGGATGTGTGATTACAATCCTGAATGCTGGATCTCCAGTCTTGACTTTCCACCACATTTTACATGAATAAGTGGCCACCTCCCAAAGTAATTCTCTCATTCAGCTAATTAGTGCTTCAGGCCCCTGTTTTAGAGCCCACACACATAGCAGCTCTTACACATGGACACAGTCCCATTGAACAAGCACGAGTTGTTTTACACACAGAACAGATAAAAAAATGTACAAAATACACAGTGTCTTCATTAGAAAGAGAGAGAAAGAATCCATGATCTATGGATTTTATTTATGGATTTAGATCCACAGACTACCATTTCACTTCAGCTAAATTTCATTCTAGTTTTCTTTTCCAATGATTCTGTGCATTTAATTTTTAGCTCCACTTCTTTCCCTCCAGGGCTCTAAACATAGCTCATTTCAGCTCATTCTTACACTGTTCTCACAGGCTTTACCTGCTTCCAATTAACTTCTCTTCTTAGCTATTTATGTTTTTTCCATTTGGCAACGAGGTCACTTTGCTGTCACAAGATTTCTATCAGACATCTTTTCCTCCCTCCAGTGGCCATCTATTTCTCTAGCTTTCAGATAACTTTTAGTCAAATGCTTTCCCTTTTTCTTCCTCTTAAAGGAGCATCAGCTTGCTGAAGTGAATTGAGTCTGTACTTGGTTATTGAGCTATGAACCAAAGGCAGTCCATAAGTGATGCTGCCAATACCTTTTTTTTTGATTGACATTGGTTAATTACACTTTCACGGCTTCATCATACTAGTCTAATGAGCTGTCTTGATCTGGGAAAGACTTTAGAGTCTGGCATTGAAAAATAAAGAAACAATGTTAAAATGAAGGATTTTATAGTCTCCTGTTAAAATATAGAAACACATCAGAAGACTGAAAATACAGAAATGCACACCAGGATAGACCTTACAAATTATCTTCTAGTGTTTCCTCTCTTGAGGCCCTGTGCTACCTACTCTTCCATTTTCCTATAGAGTATTCTTGTCTGCACATGTGAATGTAGAACTGAGCCTTAAGACATTAAGCTCTTTGCAGCAGTATCTTTGTTACTCCACTCAATTTCCAACCCTCTCTTTAAGAAAACCTATCTTTTCTTTCTCATTTATTTGCCCATTTTATCTTATAACTCTAGCTCATCTGTGTGCTGTTCACCACTTCCTTCAGAGAATCACAATTATGCCCGCATGATTCTGTCTTCCCTATAAAACTGAGATGAACCAGTGAGAGACAACAACATGTCCATCTTGCTCACAGCTGGCACTTCAAGGGACCCGACAGGAGTGTTTGTACCTGACTCTTCCTCGTTTATCTAATCATTTGCTCTAACTAATCATTGTCCGTGGGCTGTTTACGTACAAACAGGTTTTATGAAAAATCACACCTTGCTTATAGCAATTTATTAACTGGAAAGAGGCTATCTTAGCTAATTGAATTGTTATGTTTAATTGTTTCCTTCAACTCTGGCCAGAAGCAAAGATCCATCAGCAAGTGTACTACCAGGTAAACTATTCATAGCTTAGTTTTGTATAGCTCTTTTTCACTGAAGAGGCCTGTAAGGGTTTTTGCCTTTTTTCACAGGTGCCACCAGTGCTTCTGGACAAGCAGTTTTCAGAATTTACACCAGACATCACACCCATTATTCTGGCTGCCCACACCAACAATTACGAAATTATAAAGCTCCTTGTGCAGAAAGGGGTCTCTGTGCCCAGGCCACATGAGGTCCGCTGTAATTGCGTCGAATGTGTCTCGAGTTCAGATGTGGACAGCCTCCGGCACTCTCGATCCAGACTCAATATCTACAAGGCTCTGGCAAGCCCATCGTTGATTGCTTTGTCCAGTGAGGATCCTTTCCTTACCGCCTTTCAGCTGAGCTGGGAGCTGCAGGAACTGAGTAAAGTCGAAAATGAATTTAAGTCAGAGTATGAGGAACTGTCACGGCAATGCAAGCAATTTGCTAAAGATCTTCTGGATCAGACACGGAGTTCCAGGGAATTGGAAATTATTCTTAATTACAGAGATGATAATAGCTTGATAGAAGAACAAAGTGGTAATGATCTTGCAAGATTGAAACTGGCAATTAAGTACCGTCAAAAAGAGGTGAGTGTGCTGGAGTATATTTAAGCATACTTAGTAGTAGTAATGTGATAGATAATAGCCTGAAATACATCCTTTTAACTGAGACAAATTGCTGCTTATGTTTTTTTGTTCTACAGGGTGTCTTTTTGTATTTTTAATTTGATGAATTTGAGTAGCTGTTATAGTTTGATAGTATCAGAATTTCAGTGCTCTGTTATAACACAGATCTAGGAAACTTTTCTTTTGCAGCTGAATAGACATAAACTTCAGTAGTTGTGCTCTGAGGAGCCCATCAGTAAGAGGATGGAAAATACATACAGCATACATAAAATTAGCGTTAATAGTGTCTGACAGAAAAAAGGAGGCTACGTGTTTAAACACCTATAAAATAGTACAGGTACCTCAACGGAGAGGTTTCTTTAAAAAATAGCTATAGATACTGAAACAGAAGATTAATAGCAATGCATGACTCCCCTAAGCTTTGACATTCACATTCTTTTTCATAAGGTATCCAAAATGGAGATACCTGGAATTGGTTTCTATGTCAGTTAAAAATTCATGAGTTTGCTTCACTGATACAGATACTCAATTTGAATCAGAGAATGTCTGCATTTTCTTTATATTCTAGTTCTTATGAGCCTCCAAAACCAAAAGAATCAAGACAGAAAAATGAGTTAGGAAGACAGTTCTCCTGATATTTCAAAAACCTCACATGGTCCCTGCTCAATATTGTGTCAGAATGTGTTTTATCATCTCGTTTTGAACCTGTACATCCAAAATCAGTTGTATTGTGGAAATGTATAGGCAAGACAAATGGCATTAATAATTAATTATTACTCATTCATATAAAATATGGCAAATGCTTAAGAAAGTTCTGTGTTATATTGAACTAGTTTATCACTGCTAAATCTCTGTTCTGCAAAATATAATAGTAAATGCATTAATATATTAAGCACATTAGAAAGGTTGTCAGGAATAATAACCAAACAGGTAATGATTCTGCTGTCTGTTTGAAATACAATTTAGTAATGATAAGAAGTTATCATAAAGGTAGGTACCTACTGAAATACTACTGGAAATTGGTCTCTGACTTCGTAAGTATTCTAATAGACATTTTTTCCTTCAGGAAAGGTATTGTGTAATTTCATATTTGAGAGTACACTGTTTTAGGCAACACATTCACTGCCTCCGTAAATTATTTTCACATGGTACTATTCGAGACTTTTCTTATCTAATATTCTTGAAATGTCAATCCTGTTCTACAGTCTTTTAAGAAATTACAGTATGGACTTCTGTTTTCTAAAGGATTCATGAACTGAAATAAAATTCTGACCCCTCTCTCTCTTTTTTTTTACCATAAATACAGAGCTTGAATTTTTTTAATTTGAGATAGAGACAGTGAAACATCTGCAGGGTAAAATGTTTTTTCATAGTTGCGTCTGATTACTGTGCCTTTGCATTGATCACACTTCATTGATTTTTCATAATACCAAACACTAAAGCAATACTGATTTTGTGCCATAATTCCAAATCAGTGGATCTTTTGTATTTGACATACATTTTTCATTTCTATAAATATTTCCTTCTATCCCTGTCATTTGAGTCTCCTTGAAGTAAAAACAAGTTTTATTAGATTTTTTTGCCGTGTTCCTAAAATCATTCCCTACTAGACGCTGGAGCAAATAATAGCCACTGTACCTGATCAGTCGTTTTATTTTTTATTATTACAATAATATTCTGATAGGTACAGCTCCAAGGTCAAGAAGCTTCCCTCAGGCATAACAAGTGGACCTTCTTTACAAAACAAAGAAATTTATGCAAGTTGGATTTGAGGTTCTCCAAAGAGAAAGGTGCTTATCTTCTGCATTTTGATTCCTTTTGTGCTTGCCATAGTACTGTGATCCGCATTGATGTACTGTCAAAAGGCATTGCAGTGGTATCGACTCTCAATCCATGGATTCATGTCAGAGGGTATCTTCTTTGTATTGCCAAGGAAGAAACTTCCCTGATAAAACCATCTTATCTTCTTTCATTAATAACTAATGAGGTTGAAAAAGATTTATTGTTTCAAGTTTGCACTACAGAATAATGTCTGGCGAGACTGTGGATAATATCTGTTCTGAGTTAGAACCAGAGAGTATCTGCCAACATGAATGTTTTGTCTGCTTACTCACATTTTTTTTTAGCATAGCACATGAGACAGAACACCCAAGGTACCATTTTTTTTCCCAGTTTATTTTGTATCACTGATGCTATTTGATTGTAAGTAAAGACATGTTGCTGATGGTTATGATGCCTATTTCTGACACCGATGGTTGCTTGGGCTACAACCAGCAGCAGACAAGAAAGATTCCCTGAAGTCATGCAACAGTCTGCATTGGGCATAAATGTTTTGTTGTCTAACTATCTACTGTATAATATTATCTCAGCTAAAGGAGAGTTTGGTTTTATAAAGGCTGTCTCTTACAAATTCATTGTGCTAGATTCTAAGCACTCAATGAGCAATGAGAAATAGTTTCCCATTTTCCTGAACCAAATAAAAATGTCTGCTGATTTAACTGCAGTTTCATTGAAGAATGTGGAAGGAAAATCCCTAATTCTGTCTATGATTCACAAGCAGAAGTTATTCTACCTGTAGTAATAATAATATGTCATTCTGAGTTTAAGTAATTTGCAAAACCCTGGTGCAACAATGCAATTAAGTATTGGATAATAGTAGCAGTCTGTCATAATTAGTAGAAGGTCATCTTTGCCGCTAATTGCAAAATCCATGTTTTGTCTCATATACATTGAGAGTCTTTAATAGAGAAATCACATAAAAACATAATTATTGGCAGTATTGTCTCATTTTGCTTCATTTTAAGATGTTCTGATATTAACACAGAGGAATTTATTTTAGGTATGTAACTATTAACCTTTTATCTTTCACTTTTCAAATGAATAGACTAGCTGGACTTTTTTCCTTTTTTTGTTGTTTTTTTTTTCCTCTTTCCATCCTTAGTTTACTCTGATCACCATTCACATCCTCTGCAAGGACAAGATCATTAGATAATTTTGAATATTAGCGGGATGTAAAGTAGGTTAAATTCTGCACATTTCATTTTGACAATCTTAAAACATTTTAATAAGCTTCTTTCTGCATTTATCTTTAAAAACCAAAGAAAATAAATACCTATATAATCCATAAATGGTTATGTATCATGTTGAGGTGTAGATAAGAAAGCAAAACCTAAATTTGCTAAAAGGTACATTCAGGAAGGACATTTTTCCTGATCCTGAATTAGTGTTTTTAAAGGACTGATTTAAACCAGAACCATTTCTAAATTTTATTTCTCTTTTCAGTACATTTCTATAGAGCTGAATAATCAATATTTATGAAAAATCTCTATGTTCCCATAAAACACACACCAAAGATTACTGATATGAGCAATATCACCAAATTATTAATTGACTAGTTAAATCTTAAATACAATAATGTGATATTCACATTTCATAGATCAATTCTTGTTTTCTAGTAAAATAGTGCTGCAGGATAAAAGAAATTGTTGATTACTGATAATAAAAGTCATCTGCTTGCTTGTGCTCGAAAGAGGACTGCTAAAAATGCAATCAGCAGTTCTTCACTAGTTTTCTATACAAAATATTGCCTCAGTGAAAAGGAAATGTTTCACAATAATGTCACAAATTCACTGAAATTTTCAATGAAAACATGTCAAATAATTTCAAATCTGTCATTTCATGTAGATGTCTAAACATTTCAATAAAGCATTTCAACTGCAGTTTCTTCTTACTCCACTTGGACTTTAACAGTTTTGACAATGCAATGCTTATACCTAATATATTCCATATCATATTAATGTACAATGCAGTATAAATACGAAATAATAAAATATTTCTTATCAAAATTGAATATCTCAACAATGCCTAGAGAAAATAATTTTAATCTACTGAAATGAAAAGTTGCCATGTTCTTAGTAATGTTTTTTAATGTTAAAATTGCCATCATCTTGGGAATGTTGGCTTTTTATTCAGATATAGAATACAAAGTATGTCTGGAAATGCAGGAAATTTCCAGAGTTTCTCTGGAAGCAGTACAGTTTAAGACTCTAAATCAGGCTTTGTGACTGCCTAAGAGAACAGAATTTTCCTCTGAAGCCATAGATTGATTTTCAGTCATTTTAGTAGCTATTATAATGTATTTCTCATTAAAAGATGGAAAAGCCTGAATTGTTTACTCTGCAAGCAGGAA